AGTCTCATATGTTTGCTATATCCGCTGCTCTTGATTATTCATTTTCGAAAGTACCATATTTGAAATGAGAAGAAAAGATAACTGACCAATCACTAATAAACCTGCTCACTAATCACTAATAAACCACTGCTCTAAACTAGTTAGCTCCAAAAATCACAGTTATTGTGAAATAAAGTACAGTAAAAACCCGCGTATAAGAACCTAACATTTAAGAACCTGTCAGGCTAAAATTTACTTTTTCTTACTGACTGAAACCTAGACCAAAATTTTTTTTTTCTGCATTTTCATCATTTCCAAAAAACCTCCTTTTCATAAGAACCTATTCAGCCTAAAATTTTCAGTAGGTTCGTATTTTACAAAAATGAAGTTCAATGATGAAAATACAGAAAAAACAATTTGGTCCAGGTTTGAGTCAGTAAGATTCAAAGAATCAAAAATGTAACACGGACAGTATTTAATTTTTATGGACCATGTAGCATAAGAGACACGCTAGTACTTTGGAAAGATAAATTTACTGTATGGTTATAATCTAAACTGTATTCTAGATAATTATTTAATACAGCAATATATTCCATATGACATATGCCCTGTAGTAGTTATCTGTGCTGATGGCTAGTGCCCCTATCAAATTAAGAACCTAAGTAGCCTAAGATCCCGCTAAATACCATTTCTATAAGAACCTATTTAGGCTAAGTTGGAAAAGTCTAAGTTCTTATACGCTGGTTTTTACTGTATCATGTTAAGGCTTATGTACTTCAGATTTTACAATACGTTATGACATTCATTGCGATTGTGAAATAATACATCTGAAAATATTTTTAAAATATATGGTTATGATATCTGTAACACAGGGTCTTCATTGTGACTGTGCCTGCTTGATGTTCCGATAGCTAAAAAACAAGCCATCTGAAGAAAGGATCAAAGAAATCATCAAGGATGCAGGGGCAGATCCAGGATTTTTCTTAGGAGGGGGTGCACTCGTCTCTTGCTCTTCTTCAACACCAATAAACCACATAGTTTTTGTTTTTGCAGAATACCAGTTGTATTAGAAAAGTGCAGGTCATCTCAGGGGGAGGGGGGTGCACACCCCCTGCACCCTCCCCCTAGATCCGCCCCTGGGATGCTGTTATCATTGAGCAAGTCAGTTCCTCATAGAGGCCCTCCCTGGAAAACTCATTGAAAAGAACCACATCCTTATGAAGCAGTATATTGAATTTTGTAGCTGACAGAGTCCTGGTTGCTCTTAAATGCTCCAAGGTAAAAATAGCTTATGTTTGCCTGATTCTTTTCCCTCCGGTGGAAATATTAAAGCGTTTTGACTAAGTAAAAAGAACCAAAACCTTCAGGGAGTTAATGTCTTGGTCAAATCAAGATGCAACATTCCTTCCCTGTTTAGGCATAAATTTTTCTAATTCCCCACTCAATCCCAAGCCAAACAGCTGTTTAAATGTCCCATCAAAGGTACATTTTAGGTCATCAAATGCCCCTATCAACGACAACGACAACGACAACGACAAATTTTATTGAAAATTGGAAAATAACTAATTACATTACTTTCCCACCCGCAAATAGCTTATGAACTAATCGAGGCGGGGGGAGCTGAACACAATTTACAAAACAAGATTTATATATAGATGGACTAAATAACAGTGAAGACACTACAATACAGTAAATAGAATTTAAACTAACATAAAACAAGGCATGTACATAACGATTACGAAGAGAGGCTAACCTAAAGTATTAAATAACTTAATAAGACGGGAGACTTCGACATAATCATCTTCTGACCGCAAAAAATTTAGTAATAATTCCTTTATTTTTTTACGAAAGGACGAACGTTTAAGTATTTTAATCGAATACGGAATAGAGTTCCAAATTTGGGCACCGATTCTCGTGAAAAAGGCATACATTTTATCGGTTCTAGAGAACTTAACATAAAACGAGTCGCTAGAGACAGATCTTGTTCTGTAGTTATGAATCTGACTTGTTTTAACGAACTGATTGAGAATACTAACTGGTGCTATCTGTCTGTTGATATCATACAATAAATAGCTACAATCTCTGAAAAATATGCTAGACAGGGGAAGGCAATTTGATTTGAGAAAGAAGGGTACGGCGTGTTCCTTAGACTTACTGAAGTAAATGAGACGTAAGGCCCGTTTTTGTAGAGTTACGATCTTTCTTTGAAATGTCAAGGCACAATTTCCCCAACCACAAATACTGCGCAAAGCTGTGTGGGGAATAATATTTTGAGCGTATTTTTTATCATGTAAAACCATATTACTCTTTTATACTTTTGCCAGAACAATGCTTATGTAATGCTTTGCTTTTAGTCAAAATCTTTACCTTAACCAAACTATGCTACCTGCAATAATTTATCAAACTGCATGCAAGTACACCCTAGTTAAAATTTATCAGCAGTATGAACAGATTAATTTTTTACAAGGGCAGGGACATATTATGGGAAGTTACTACAGAGTTACAAATATTATTCTTTTTATTCTGACAGGTCTGCAATGTTCAGAATCCATTTGATTTCATGGAGAACATTTCCTTGGAAGGAAAAAAAATTTCTTTAAGAAAAGAGTGGCGGAATATCAGAAGTCAGGAGTAATGAGCAGAAAGTCATCTACTACATCAGAACATGTATTCAAAACAGATGAAATTTAAAAAAAAAATTACCAGAAATGTCAACAGAGTCACGTTCTTACATTAAGGTTGTATATATTTCCATGCTGTTGTCAACATTGCACAAGTAAGTTAGAGTATTAATTTTTAGCACCAAAAATCCTTTTTATTGCTATTTTTAAAGCTACTTTACATATATTTTTTTATCAGTGTACAGTTTACATCTCAGTATGAAATATGCTATTTTTGGTTAGCCTTTCGGTGTCATTAAACAAAGTTTTACTAAAGTTGTGGTCAGTTGCTCATCTTTGTTCACCTTGCATAATACAGAGGGTTACTTGTGCAAGTTTTTTGTCTCCAAATCCGGTGTTCTTGGTTTTTGTCATAATCGTGTACCCCTGGTTAAGTCTTCCACTAAACCCAATTAGATTGGTGGGTTTGTGGTGCACTGCAGCCTCACTTTTCCTTGCTCCCATTCTTGCAGACTAGTGCTGCCAAAATTTTCAACAAACTTGCACAAGTGAGCAGCAGGTCCAAAGTTGGTGTAACTCAGGGAGAGAGTTTAAAATCGGTTTCCCCCAGTTAAACCAACTCAACTAAATTTGCTGTGTACTCTTAAAAAATCCGTGTGGCTGATAAAAAGTATTCAAATATGACGTACAGTTAGCTTTCTCTGAAAGGAAGCTCAAAAATGCTTGTGTGCCATTTCATTATGAATAACTAAGTGATCTGCAATCAATGGGGAAGGCGAAGCTGTACCGTATTGACTCGAATAAGCGCCTCGGCGATGAAAAATGTTCATGTTTCAAATGCGGCGCTTATTCGAGGGTGGCGTTAATTTAAAAGTTGAACGCTACAACTGGGAAATGTTTTAACTAAGTTATTATAATTTTGCAAACATAAAAAAAGTGTTCTTTTTTAGGGATAACTACAAGAGACGCAGTCTTCAATTCATGCCATGGGTAAATCAGATCGTAATGTCATCGTCAGGCATCACAATAAAGGCAAAAATTCAGTCTAGAGCGGCAAACTTCTACCAGCATGTCTACCAGCGTTCTTCTACTGCTGTAAGACAACAAAGATCAATCACCAAGCTGACCAAAAACAGAACACACGAACTGCAAATAGTGTCACGGGCCCAGTGAGCACCTCTGTCGAGATCGGGGATTCCCTGACCTGCTGCGCTGTTTTAAAAACGCGCGGGGGCTGAGGAGAGAGATTTTTCGTCCTTTTCCCGCCGCTGTTACAGTGTCATGGACATCCCCATTCCCAAAACCCTAGCGATATAGGCATCCCCTTTTCATATTACCTTAGCGATTTGGTTTAGGGTTAGGGTATCAGTAGACTTGCCACAAAGTCGACTTCTCATAAGTTCTTAGCGAGCTAGGCGAATGAGAAAAAGCGAGCTTCAACGAGGTCGCGCAGCGAGCCAGGGAGTCGCGAGGTCAAGGAATAAGCAACCAGGAAAAAAATGTAAGGGACTTTTAGAAAGTCTAGGGCAGGGGATGCCTGTTGTTGTTGTCGCGACGTTTTTACTATCTGAAGGCTGGGCCTCGACTGGCTAGGAATTTCCCGCTTTTAATTTAAATTCCTGTTTTTATTTGTCACGTTTAACCCACTCACGCGCGAGGACACACGTCACGTCCCACGCGAGCGTTTTTGAGAAAACCGAATTTTGACAAAATGAATAGAAAGGATTTACAGCTACGCTGTTACCGTGATTTAATAAAGTTATACTGTGCACCTATACTTTTAGACAAAATTTCCGCGGTGAACTGATTTCTTAATATCACTGTAGAAAATTCTCTACTAGTGTATGATAGGGTGGCCGTGTATGAGTAATTTAGAAATAAAAAAAGTATAGGAAGAAGAAAAGAAACTAAGACTCACCTATTTTAAAAAGGATTCAAATTTCATGTAGGTAATCGTGTTCCACAGGCTCTCTCCTGGGCAGTCTCAAGATCGCCTCTGGCTGCAGCCTCATTTCAGCTGGGTGACGAGCTTCTTCTTCATCGTCGTCAGCTTGCTCTTGTCCTTGATCCCCGAAAATCTCGAGCGTCAACATAGCACCCAAAACACCGCCAATGACACCCCCGAAAAGTGCACTCACGAAAAAATATTTGAAGGATATCATAGTAGTTGTCGCCTTGATAGTGTCTTGCAAGACTGAAAGAACGAATTTTTCGACCTGTGAACCCTGCACAAAATTTGCAGTTCACGGTCACGGTTAAAACCGTGCAACTAACAACTACGTAGATGTGATGCCAGCAAGAGACTGGGCACTAGTTTAGAGTTTAGATGGAAGCCATTTTGGAAACGGGTCGGAGATGATTTCAATTTTTGGATTCGGAGAATAAGTCAGTGATTAGGGAATGTCTGCTCCTCGGAAACCATGGGAAGGAGCAGTAGTAAACACAAGGTCTAGTGTAGTGCCGTTTGATTCTCCATCTCGCCTTCCATTAGGAGCTGGACCCCCTAGACTGAATGCACTTCGCGATCGTGACTTAGGCAAAATGGCGAGTTCAACTTCGGAGTCAAGAAAACCTCCACCGTTGCCACCAAGACCTCAAACACAGAGATCAAATGGGGGATTAATGTATGGAGGGTCAAGATACGGTAAATATCTTCCACTTCAATGCAAACAATAATATCAAGAAGTTTCCATTACAATAGTTGCACCATAATTGTACTTTGACGTCACTTAATCTTTGAGAAGCACTCTTTAACTCCTAATATATAGTGGCCAATGAAGAATATTGTCAAAATACCAAGTTTCTTTTTTTAAAAAAAATCATAAACCATAATCAGAAATATAAGGTGCTACACGTTCATGTGATTGGTTTGACCGAGAGGGCCTGAAAAGACGCCGTACAGGGACTTATACAGGGACAAGGCAAGTGATTGGTGACATCATGGTATTTCCTCCACGACTACTGCTGCAGAAGTTGTAATGTCAGTCTAGGAGAAACAGTTTTTTCAGTCAAAAATGGGGTATGACAGTATTAAAATGAATGTATTTTTTGTAAACAATTATTATTGACATTTTGTTTTTAGAAAATTAACTTATGTTAAATAAAAATTTTGAATTTCAGGTTATGGAAGTGGTATGTATGGAGGCTATAGCGGGATGTATGGTGGTGGATTTGGGGGTGAGTATAACTAGTATTGTTGGTAGTTCTTCATAACCAGCTACTGTTAACCAAATAAATTGAAAGACATTTTACCCTTTAACCGGCAAAGTTCTTGACAGGAATTTTATTTCTGGGATAAATATGCTCGTATTTTGACTTCAACTTCTGTGTTTCAATTCCTAACCCCCATAACCTATGTAGCAAAATGTTCAGCACAAAACAGCCCATCAAGACTTGATGATTCACTTAGTGAACAAGCCTGTAAATAGAAATGTTTTAATCCAATTTCTTTTGTGATTTTTTTCAATTTCAAACTTGAATGTGACTACTGGAGAAAAATTGCTGCTTTCTTCATAGCAACTAGCCATTACAATGCAAAAAACAGTCTCAATACCACTGCTAACCATACTGCTTCAGATTCCCAGCTTTTGTTTGCTTGTTAACCTTTTTTGGCCGCAAAGAAAGTCTCATTTCTATAGTTGATTGAAAAAGATGAAAAATTCAAGGAATTTGTCTTGACAAAATTGCTCAAAGTAGCAGAAACAAACGCCAAACACCACTCGATAGAAGAAACACTTTGGGCTTCATGTAAAACACAATGAATCATCCAAGGGCCTGATCTACTGCCCTCCAGATCCCCCAAACCAAGAGATGCTCCGATCGTACATATATATAGGATTGCCAGGTAAAGGGTTAAGGATATCAATACAATTGGTGTCAGTTGTACAGATATCAAAAGAAAACAGGGAAGTAGAAGGTGCAGTTGCTCAGCTGTTTAGGAAGAGCTGGAGAAAAGGGAGGAAGACCAAACTACTATCTAAAATCATAGCAAGAATTATTAGCAAAAATACCAGTCAATGGATGACAACTGCTATTTATGAAATTATGAATAAGCTGGTTCCAAATATCATGGAGATGGCAACATTTTTATGTATGCAAATTACAGACAAATTATTTAAATTCTTAAACAATTCATTTGGATCAAAAGCTGTTTTTTAAGCTGATCTGAGGAAGTTTATTATTATTATTATTATTATTATTATTATTATTACAATAAATTAGTGAAGCAAGTAATTAAAAAACTAATGCTGTTATTAACTAATAAATAATGATTAACTGATTATTAATCCTGCTTGTTGAAAAATTTTTTGGCTTTGTTAAAGTGACTCTAAGGCTAGCATGTGTCAGCAGTAAAGCAACCTTCTTTGCATTTTCATTAAGGTGTAAATGTAAGATGATTGCATCTCACAGTACCTTGGGTTCCAGAGGATATATTTTTTTTTCAATACTGATGGTTCACAGCGAATCCACATGAATGAGGCGCAAAGTGTCGAGAGAAAAAAATAACCCCAGGTCACAGGAGCTATGAGTCTCATTTCCTTGCCATTATTTTTTCGGATTATGTATCTCATCAAACCGGTTTGGAGCTGATGTGCATGTTTGTTTTCATTGATGCTGACAGCTGATTTTGATCGTACGTGACTCTGCGTCTGATCTGCAATGCGTGAAAAAAGAATTGCATGAAAACTTACTTAGAAAGGATACTTCTATTTATTTAAAAATTGTCACAAATTGTTTTCCAAAAAATAGACTTCAAGTTTTAAGTAAATAAATAGGACAGGGGTCAGCTGAGAAGTACCCACTCTTTATGTTTTTAGAAGTCAACAGGATAAAAAGAATTTCTGGTCCGCGACTCTTGTATTACTGTACCAGGTCAAACTAAATATTGCCAGGCAAAACGGCCATGCCAAATAAAACATCATTCTGCTACATTTTTTAGCCAATAAACCGTGCCACGAACTATCAGGAATTGGGAAAAAAGAAAAACCTTTTGCACCCAGGGTACTATCTGTGGAAATGCAGAACTGAGCCTAGCAATACAAAGCATAGCCGGAAATCCAGGAAATCATCACATTCATTCAAACGATGTCCTTTGGTAGGAAAAATTCAAACAAAGCTTCTTCCTCGAGGAACGTTGATTCAGTTGTTGGATATTCTGTTAAATTATTTCAAAGTTTAGCCAGAGATTGCTTAGCCACACTTCCAAAAGAAAACGTGAAAGCCGGGGTCTCCGAATAACAACGCGGGATTATATTGTTTGTTATGAACATTGCAATAATTGTAACTGGTTTTTAATCTCATGCAATGAAGATTTTCAACACAGCCAATCAAGTTCACTGTTACAGCGTTAATTCCCTGCCGAAGTGGGAGTAACCAATCGGTGACCCAGTTCAGATTCTGAACTGATTTCTTGCATGGAAATGAGGTTGCTTGCATGTGTGACCAGAGGTCCGACTTGGGAGCCTTATCAAACCGAAAGCACAATTTATTTCATATTAGGTATTTTGAGAATGGACTTCTGAAGCCGGGGACTCACAGTAACATAACTAATAAACATTGATGTTATTATACCTCATAAATAGTGCAGTACTGTAATAAGAAAAGATAATCCATACATTATCTATTTCTTTGAGCAGCTGTTTAACTTTGAGAACCATGTAATATTAATAATAATTAAAAATTAAAAAAATTGAATAAACTTTGTTTTATTGCCTTTCCTCTCCAGGCTATGGAATGTATGGAGGAGGCTATGGAGGTTATGGTAGTTATGGCAGCTATGGAATGGGTATTAATCGATTTGGAAGCCCATTGAACCAATCAGGCTCAAGCTCATTTGTGGGACGTGCAGAGGAGAGCAGCAGGGCAGCATTTCAGTCCATAGAGTCAATAGTTCAGGCTTTTGGCTCGGTAGCCATGATGCTAGAATCAACTCACTTTGCCATGCATAATACATTTCTTGCTGTTTTGAGCATGGCAGACCATTTTAGTAGACTCCGCACTCATTTGGTTAGTGTACTTGGAGCGTTTACCTTATTTAAAGCCATTCGTTACATTTTTAGAAAGATCCATGCCTTATTAGGTTTTACGCAAAATCATGGATTGGAAGAAGAGTTGTGGGATAAAGCAAAAACAGCAGTTGTTCCATCCAGTGGTCAAGGTGGCAGTGATTCTAAAAAGGCATTATCATGGCCCATTTTGTTATTTTTTGGGGTTGTTCTTGGTACTCCTCTCATCATATGGAAGCTTTTACAGTCACTTATGAATGATGAATCTAACACAAAAGACTGGAAAACAGGTAATTATAAGCCTTTTATGGTATTAATAACAAAATCTTTGTGAAATATCACTGCAATAATGAAACATCATGAGTGTTAGGTTCACTTCAAATATGGCTGGATGCAATGGTACGTTGCCCCAATATACAATTGCGAACAAAGTTTCCAGGCAGCTGAGGCACAGCCTACAATCCCAGACAAGAGTAGTTTGGAAGGTTGTACAACTCAATGTAGTTTATTTCAATTATGTTCAAAAAGATGGTCCCCCCCACTAATTCAATGGGGTATAACAGAACACTTTTGCACGCAAACACTTATGTCTTTGTGCAACGTTGGGCATGGGTGGGCGGGGGAAGAAGGGAAGAAGAGGTAAAACGTAGCATAAATGAACTCAAGTAAATGGTGAAAGAGTACTTAATAAAATGTCATATACTTTTTGAGGAATATCTGCAAAACAAATTCTGTTTATATTAATTTTTTGAAACCATGCTGAGAAACAGGAAAATGTTTTGAAGAACTCCATGAGGTAGTAAGATGTTTAAGAAGGATAATAAAAAACCTGTTGAATATGGCTTTTGCAGATATGCAGATCTTGGACTGAGGTTGCTATCCTCAACCCATAATTCTTTACATCGTACTCAGTTAATGTTTTTAAATTCGTGATCATCAAAATTAATTTTACCATTGTTACCATTCTGCAGGGGAAGGAGATCATGTGATTGCAAGAGCAGAGTATGACTTTGATGGTGAAGGAGAAGATGAATTATCTTTCCGTACTGGCAACATTCTGCGACTTGCTCCCAAGGGCAAACAGCCGCGTATCAGAGGATGGCTTCTTGGTACAGTTGATGGTGCTACTGAAGGCATTGTTCCTGCTAATTATGTCAAGGTTGTCTAGGCCTTTGCATTTTATCAATAATATTCTCTCTGTAGACCCTGTGTAACTTAAAAGTGTTGTTGAAATATCACAGGGATTTTTCTAAGTAACCTATTCCTTTTCATATGTGTTGATTTATAAAGAAAGTTGAGGCCCACAGCCTATTTTTTCTCCTGCATCTTTATAATATTATGTTGTACCCTGGTTCCAGAGGTTTTTCCCAGGGTGCAAATTGATGAGAGAATAATTCTTTGTTCCTCCTTTCCCCACTTTGCATCTTGCTGCTATCACTATGTGGTTCAATTGAGGAGAAAAAGACAGATTTAAAGAAAACCTGGGACCGGGGTACAATTACTTCAAAATAACACCCATGACATGATTTTTTTCTCAGCTTTTTGCACACAAAAAACCACATTCATTTCCAATTTATAGTTTTCATGACACTTTAATTTATTGTATTTTGAGGAAAAAAAGGAAACGAATACAGAAAAAGTTAAAATTGTGGAAAATTTCATGTATCATTAACTGTCCTCTAAGGACGACTTCTGTAAGACAGACACAACCTTGGTATGGACTCTACAGAGTCCATAGGACAAGATTAACTATAGCACAGGTAGCCCAAGCTCAAAATATGAACATCAGCATTGTTGTATAACTTTCAAAAAGTATAAGAATTTGTATAATGAGGAAAATGATTGTTTCTGTAACAATTAATTGAAAATCGGGTTAATCAACTTACCAAATGAAAGAAACACAAACTTATAGTGAGGTTAGGTGATTTACATGTATATTTAAATCCTTCATTCATAGCTTACAGAAACAATCCTTTTTTCCTGATACACACCAATCACATCCCTCAAAACAAAGAAATAAGAAAGGAAATTTTTGAACTAAATGTCAGTGTAGCATGGTTTCATGACTTTATATAGAAACAAAAACTTTTAGAAGAGTGTTGTGTGTACAAATGACCTGTCAAAATCAAATCAACTTGCTTGCATGTTTTTCGATTTGGAAAGGTTATTTGCATATGATGAACACGTTTATTGGCCAATCAGAGATGGTTTTTTTCAGATTCTTCCAGAGGTTAGCGATCCTTAGTGCTGACCAAAAGGATCGCAGCCCCTGGGAAAGGGATTGGATGCACACCCATATATTTCAAAGGTTATGCAACCGTGCCCATGCTCTGCATATTTTGAGCTAAGGCAACCTGTAACTATAGTGTCTGTCTTAAAGTCGATTGCCTTATAAGTATTTCAATTGCCTTAGTATGACTGGGTTTTCTTTTGTTTCTAGAAGATGCTTATTTACATGCTTACTTTGAGCCTCTTGTTCTGACAGATTTTAGGTCTTCGTCGTGGTAAAAAGAAACCAAAAGATAGCAAGGAGGAAAGCAGAAAAGAAGTATCATCAACATCAAAAAAAGACCAAACAAGGAGTTCTGAACCTAGTATGGATCAGGAATTTGACACTATAACAGAGAAAACAGATGGAAACAGTTTGATACCTTCGCAGAACTTACTCACTGAGGAGTCTTCAATTGAGAGAACTCTTGTAGATGATGATCTTTTAGATACTGACTTTTCAAGTTTTAATGAAGGACAAACCTAATCAACAGCTGAGTCAGATGCTGATAAAGATTTTGTTGTGCGTGGTATATGGAAGTCCCTGTGAAGCTTCAAAACATTGTGGAACAAATAATTAAGAATGAAACTAGGGTGAAATTAATTTAACCTAAATGTTTGTTTTGAACTACAAAACATACCCTTAATACGGACACCAAAGAGGCCATAGAAAGACAGTGTCCATATTAATGGGTTGTCCGTATTAATTGGGTTATCATGTGGCACAAAATTTTTGTGTGTTCTTATTTTTGCAATTTTTCCAGCGATCCACTAAAATAGGTTCCCACAAATAAAAATTCTCACAAACATGTTTCCCGCAAAAATTTACTCCAGAGTATGTATTCTCTAACTTAAATTCATTACACAAAATTACAGTACTAAGAAATCGTGTCTGTTCAATTACAACTTTTCTCTTTCATTCAGAAACAAAACAGTATACAATGAAATACTGGCATAGTGCATAGGGTACGCACACCGTAGTATTGTTTGAAAATGTGTATTTCTAAATCCTATTGCAGGTACTGAACAAAACCAAAAATATTATCAATGCAGGGCACTGGGTACTTTCTGAAAATCATAAAAGTTAATTCCCAGCAAGAAAAACCAATCTGTCCTAATTGAAAAATTAGTTCCCACAAAGCACAAAAAATTGCCCATCCGCAAAAATAAACTCCTGCAAAAAAACTCGTGCCACACCGTAAATTTAGAGAAAATGGGAGGCTTACTTTCCCCAGGGGCATGGACAACTGTCTGTAATAGTGAGGTGTCCGTATTAAGCGGGTGTTATTAAAGCATTAGCCTGCTAGCAGAAAGCTCTCCATTTGGGGGACTCGCGAGAAGTCATGCGATAACTGGTCTTTGGTAGATGGTTCCCCGCTGAAAATTTGTCATCACACAAACCTAAAGCTTGAAAGCACCTGTTAATGCTACATACAGTCGAACCTTTCTTTACAGACAATTGCCATGATACAGTCAGGGCTCCACTGCAAACAGTTTGTCTGCTCTCAATGATGCCTTCTTTATACAACCCCTTCCCCTAGAACACAAACACTAAATGACTCTGTCTCCTTGATTTCCGTGGAGGCTTGACTGTGTCAAATACCGAGGGCGTACTTTTTACTTTTCCTTTGATCATTGTAAGGATGGAGTTCTTGCTGAGTGTAAGGTAATTTAGGAATGTTTGCTTTTGGAGTCTGCAATTCGAAAAAGTTTTGCCTGCAGAATCTGGTAATGTGGCCTTTGGGATCCATAATTCACGTCAAGGAACCCTGAAACCCACTAACATTGGAATCTGGAATCCAAGTGCCACTGACAGGGAATCCAGAATCCAGCACCTGGAATTTGGAATTCACAGCATGGAATTCAGAATCCCATTCTGTCTTTGATTACCTTACATACATGAGGGTGGCAGTCCTGTTAGCTCCTCCTAGTTCCTGGATAGCCTGTGTGCAAGCATCTCCTATTTCCTTTGTTCAGATGAAACACTTTTGAGGGATTTGAGGGACTTAGCTTTTAAATGATCAAAAGTTTTGGAAGAACCTTGATAAAAACGCTTTTTAAATCTCCTTCGTGGTAGTGATTTCCCAACTTTTTTCTCCAAAAGAAGTGAAGCAGGGCTGTCATTAAGAGGCGGGGGCCAGGAATTTCCCTTGGCTACTAAGAACGTGGCCCCCGGCTACTTTCATAGGAAAAAAGAAGAAAAGTAGAACCAAAAGAAATCCTTAGCTGTTTGATTTCCTGCCTACTTGACTTGTTGTATTTTCCCTGCAACTTGAAATCTTAGTGACAGCCCTGATGTATTGTAATTGATTAGTGAATAATGTCATCGAATTCAAAGGTGTGAATAGTTAATCACTAAAACGAAAATTAAAGCTGCGAGTACTTAGTTTTCAGCAGCTATATATTTTGAACAGTGTTTATGGAAAGTACGAATAAAAAATGCTTACATGTAAATTTCACAAAGGTGTATCGTGATCATAAAAAAATTATAAACTTGCCAGAGATTAATAAACTTACCCAAAGAAAGAGAATTATAATGAAGTTTCATATGTACAAGTACATATATAATTTAATCTGTACTAGCGCAGTATTTCTTTGCTATCCTTTTAAGAGTTAAGAAAAGAGAGATGATTTTCTAGTGATCACTATTCAGAAAGAAAAGAGGGGAAAGGGAGTTCAAAATGCACAAAACGGTTATGGATTTTGCACATGGATTTTTTCAGGGGGAAATCAGGTTGTCTGCGAGAAGGCTTTTGTTCCCTTTTGAATATTTTTGCCTTAATAAATTTTATCTACTTGCCTATTAAAACCAACTTCAATATTTCACTTCTCCACAAAAGCAGAAGCACAGTTCCTCATTCATTGGGGAGCTCCCTTGCAAGCTGATCATTAAACTGCAGACCTGGGGGAAGAGGGCAGTCAACAATGTTTTACTGTCGAAATTCATCCAGTGCCATGTGAAGGTGGCCTGAATTGATGTTATTGATTAGTAACATCTTAATCAAATTTTCAAGCTTGCAAATGATTGAGTTTGGGGGCAAAACCAGTTTATGTTTTATGTGCAACTGTAAACAATGTAAAAATGCAAAGGAAGCTTAGATAAAGTTTTTCTTTTTTGCTTTTTAATAGCATTATTTCTTTAATCTGAAATATTAACAATTTTTGAAGAGATGGAGATCAGGAATCGGTTGGATACTAAATACCTTTAAGTTCTTAATTCAGCATTCAAGGTTTAGCTCTACTTCTTGTTGACCAATAGACAGAAACTTTTCAGTCTTTTTTGTGTAACTGCAACAAGAAACCGCAGGGAGATGAGCATGCCTCTCCACACACGTACATTCTACCCTTAGTTAGAACTTACAGTAAGCACTATTTCAATCATAATTTTTGTATGTTTGGCAATAAAATGGCAAAAATTTGAGCACAGAGAGATCTAAAATGCGAGTACTCTAGACAAGTCTGTCTCCTTGCAGATGGTTATACGATACTCCACATCATACAATATGTCACACACTGTTCTACAACAATTTTGCCGCATTGCAGAAACTTCTGTGATATGTAAGGAACACAAACATTTTCCCCAGTTTTTCAAGTATTTTTTTAATTTGAAGGTCAAATGCTTCTGTTTTGGAATCTCTTGGATACTTTATAGTATGTGTCATTTATGCAACATTTCAAAACAAATGATAGCTGAATTACAAAGGTGGTAGATGCATAGCTCAATACACCACACTATTATAAGAAGTCAGCCAATTACACACTGTATGGAGTTTTGTGGGAGAGGACAAATGCATTAAATTTCTTCTGATATTTCCTCTTCATCAGGGTTGTCATCATCACCATCTACTTCAGCATTTTCCCTTTCAAGTCTTTCCATTTGTTTGGCAAGCTCAACTTCATCACTTTCTGTCACCACTTTAGGCTAAAACAGGAAAAAAAATGTTAAATTCATTACTACGGCAAAAGAAATAATTATGCCTAGTTTAATCATAAACTCATAACTGAAATCAAACATAACATGATTGAAGACCCCAGTTGACAATCCTGCAGCTGACTCTTTATGAGGCATTAGCATATTAGCCATGTAGCTCAACTTACTATTACTAGGGTTGTCATGCCTAGCTCATGGCCAGAGAAGCTAAGAAACCTGTGGTTGCATATTTTGCCTTCAGAGCTCTAAATACTGCGTTGTACTGCCTCCCCGATTGCACAAATGTCAAGCTGATGCAACTTGTGCATTTCGAAACTCAAACAGGATTGCCATTGGTATGCTTCAGGACATCCACACACAGTAAGTCAAGTCAGCTGGTTTAAAAATACAGCAACACCCAAAAGTAAGTTGACAGTATTAACCCGTTCCACCTCAAAACTCGATTCTCATGTCTCAAAATCATTTGAGTTTCCACTAGATGCAAAATCAAGTCTTATTCTCAAGTCTCGAAACTCAAGTTTCGTGTTTCGAGTTACAAGAAAGCAGCATTTTTTGATATTCATCACTTGAAGGGATATTGAGCACAAAGATACTCATTCCTCTACAGTAAATTATTCTTAAATTTACTGGTTTCAATGTATAGCAAAAAAAGAGCCAAACTCTCTCATACATGTAAATCAGTAGCAGCTATGCCTTTCCACTGGTTCAGGGCCAGTTGGTTTTGACTCAAAGATGTTATTGGGAGGAATTACTTACTGCGACTTTTTCATTGAAGTCTCCACCATATTTCTTGATGGTAGTTTTGATGGCTTCCACAGCTAAAGTCAAACCTTTGAGGCCATCATCTCTATCCAAGGTGGTCGTGGTTATTACATACAATGGAGCTGCTATCAAATTTATCTGAAAGAGGAAAGGGAAATGATTTGGTACATTAAAGTTTTAGCCTGCTGTGTGAATATACACTGATAAAACCTTTAGGTTTTGTGAGTTTAACTTAATGTATATGTACTTTGGGTTAATGGCAAATCCCTCATTTGGCCTGCAAAAGTTTAACTAAAATTCCAAACTACTGTAAACTAGATTTTAAGTCAAGTCTACTAACTAGCTTGAAATTGACGCAAAATGACACCATTGTGAAGAATAACTACTTTACTGGTTTCACTACAAAAAAGGAATAAATTTGAAGCTTCAAGTTTAAAGTTCTGAGTTTCATTTCTTTCACATAACAAGAAAATAGACTTAAATTATTAAAAAAAATCTGGGCTGAGTTGCTCAAAGCATGGTTAGCTTTAACCATTGGTTAAGCAGTATCAAAACCAATACGCTGTCAAGGTATTAAACGCTGGTTAACGCTAACCATGCTTCGAGCAACTGGGCCCTGAAAAATGTGGAGGTGTGTGAAAGAAAACCATGAATCAAGATAAAAAGAGGTGACACAACTATAGTCTTCAACAGAAGCCAATTTGACATACTGTGAAAATACCATGAGGATACTATGAATTATTATTAGGCATAACAAACCTTAATAGGAACATCTTCTGAGGAGCATTTCAGTCCCTCAAGTAAGGAATTCTTCACAGCATCAATACCATCATAAGCATAACATGACACTTCCACATCAGCACGGACCTTGACAGCTTGAGGAGTTAGCCTTCTCTTGATATTAGTTAACAGAGTTGATTTAGTTTTCTCATCCAGATCCAGCTCATCTAGCACTGTTGGATCGCTGAACAAAGAAAAGTCATATATTTGTGGATAAAACACAGCACAATTTACATGTAACTCAATACAGTTTATTCAAGGCATTATGTTTACATCAAAGGAGGTTTTTCTGGATTCATAAAATGTTTCTGGATTTATCACACTTAGGCTATCCAATTTCCAAGCATCACAGGTCAAAACTAAAATTCAGGTTAAAATCCTTTAACCTAGGTTGATTCTCTATTAATTTTTTCTTTGTCTCCTAGCCCTAATTCATGAAAAGGAAGTTGAGAATCAACCTAGGTTTAAAAATTTTAACCTCAATATAATTTTGACCTGTAACATTTACACACATCAACAAAACTGATAAGACTGATTTGGATACAAAGTATGTACTTTAGATTCTAGATTCAAAACCTCTAGACATGCAACCAAATTAGGACATTTTAATTTCAGATTCATGTGTCTGCAGGCATGTTGAGTTAATGGCTTTAATGAATCCAAAAGAATCTCATCTACCATAAATGCAGCCTTAGTGCAGTGGAGCCCTACCTAGTAACAACTCCATTACTGTAAACAATGACCTTTCTTTTCTGGGCCCCAGACAAAAGTCAAAAAATGATTTTATTCGTATCTGGCATGTCAATAAATGGGTTGAAAGGAAGAGGAATAGATGATGAGTTTTATCTGACCACCTTCAAGGAATATGAAAATCAGATGAAACATTCTTGATTGTTTTGTTTTGTTTTGTTACAAGTGGCAAAACCACAACCACAACATGGCCAGAAGCTTCAATAACTGAGTCAAAACCAAATTAATAAACAGGTGACCTTACACATCCAGTTAAAAGATTTCAAAACACATCAATCTTCTTCTGCAAAAATTGAACCATGGCTTTTGTTTGATACGGTTTTAACGCCCTAATACCAAACGCTTCAGACATCAACACAACACATAACCTTTTTAGTCCACTATCTAGTCCTGGGTAAACAAGAGTTTACCCATAGTTGGAAAACAGGGCTACGCTTTGATTGGTCCATATCTGGGAACGGAAGTGGCTCTTTGTTTCAGCAGACGTTAGTGGGGCAGGAACGGGTGACGAACCCCTAAGAACCTCTGCGTGGGGGGCTAGGGAGGGGAGGGAAGCTTACAACTAAAGTTTACAGTATATTAGCTTTACAATACAACTGTCACAGACTTCAAGAGAGTGTCTGTTAACCTTACAAGTTTAAAGTGGCATGTGGGGGAGAATGTAATGGAAATGCCTACATGTATCTAAAATGGAATTCTTGCAAGTTGTGAAAATAAAAGCACCTACATGTATTTAAGGCAATGACTCTTATCTCTCAAACTCATGTTTTATGCTCGGAACTTAAACAAATGATCTAACTTCTTGACAGTAAGCAAAACATCTTGTACTATTTTTGAACAGTTTTAATCAAGGGGCAGTGCCTTCTCTTGGCAAACACTAAAATAATCTAATTTATTGTAAGATGTTTTCTACTGACTCAAAAACCAGAAAATTTTATTCTGGGGTCATGGTCCAAGTAAATTTACGATATACATTTACAGTAAATGTAGTTATTTTCAAAATTCTTATTTAATTAAGATACTTACCCCACAGCTAATTTGAAAACCTCATAAGAGCTTCCTGGAGACTTGTACTTTTCATCAAAATACCAAGCACTTTTCTCATAAAGTTCCTCCAGCTGTTTATCTGTTTCATATCCCAAAATCTCTGCACAGTGTCTCAAAATACTGTAAACCTGAACAAAACACATAACTGTCTTTTTTTTAATAACAAAAATCAAATGAGATGCAGATATTACAACTGCATGGCTGTCACCAAGGTCTGTGGGCTAAGGATTTCTCCCTAACACTATAAGTATGACCCTAGGTACTTTCATAGGAAACAAAAGAAAACAGAACCAAAAGAACTTCCTTAGCCTGAGAAAACAGCTGACATTTGGCGACGCTACCACTGGTTTCCCCGCCAAATGATGTCTGAGAAACGAGCGCAGAAATTCCATACTGATGATGCATCACTACCCAGATCTGGGTAGTGCTTCTGATTGGTTGAATCAAATTTCCCACGCGGCACGACCAATCAAAAACACTACCCAGATCTGGGTAGTCATGCATCACCAGTATGGAATTTCTGTGCTCGTTTCTCAGACTTCATTGGCAGGAAACCAGTGGTAGCGTTGCCAAATGTCAGCTGCTTTCTCGGGCCAGAACTTCCTATAATTCAATTCTCTATCTGGTGCTTACAAATTGCACACTCAATAACTTGAGATCTTCATAGTACAGCCCTGTTATAAAGATTGCTTATAAGACAAAAATAGGACATTTCCAATTTAAATATCCTCAGCTTGCTTCCTTTTCAAAAATATGGGTAAGTGCGAGGTCTTGGATAAAAAATAAGTAAAAGTTTTTATTATCATAATGATAATAAACAACATTATTAACACGTGTTTTGGCAACGGCATACCAACATCATCAAAATGCAAAAGAACAAAGACTATAGACAATAGATATATAGAAAACAAATGTTGTGTAATATAACATTAAAATTTGAAGTACAAAAGGATGAAATAACCAGGTAAAGAGTTTCACTGGAATGAATTGTTTTTGAGTGTTCAAAGTTGGTCTCTGTTCCAATTAGCAGAATCTCATAAATATTGCACTTAAAGAAGATAAGATCTAAAATTGTTCCAGAAGATTAGTTGGCTCTTGTTAACATTTTTTTTTCTGATGTAAAAAAACTTATTTTCAGTCATGAAACCTTGTTTTTTTTTAACTTAGAAAATAGCCTATGCTATCTGTCAAATATTTGAATAAAAAAAACTTCATATACAGTCTTTTTTTTAAATCCAAAAATGACTTCAGATTTTTAAAGATACACGTGGTTTCAGCCTAGTGCTAGCTATTCGGCAATCTTCCATTGGTTCCGACCCCAATCTGTTCCGTCCCTATTTAATCATAATCGTGAATAATTCTTTATTAGGGCTAGGAGACAAAAGGAAAGGAGAATCAAACTAAGATAGTTCAAGCCATTTTAAAATGAATTTCAGTAAACGTTTCAATGTATGTATAATTCCTCAGGGTCCATACACTTTTTCTGCCATAAAATTCAAGGACTTTTTAAGGACTTTCAAGGACCACTTTTTTAAATTTAAAGGACCTTATTTATTACTTTTAACACAGGTTCCAAATAAACTATAAAAATATCCTGATAATAATGGGCCTTTTTTCTTAATGGCAACCATTTTTATAAAAATTTGTTTGTGAGTACCGGTACTTATCAAAGAATTACCTTCCGAAACGAACAAGGTAATAATAGTGACGATGCTTCTTATCAAAATGTTCTTCCATTAAAATTCAAGGACTTTCAAGAACCAAAATGAACGAAAGAGAATTTTAAGGACTTTCAAGGACTTGAACAAGGACTCTTAAAATTCAAGGGTTTTCAAGGATTTTCAAGAATCATACGAACCCTGTTCATGTATTTATAAAAATAGATGAAATACAGATAATAAAAGTAAATACATCAGTTGCATCACATACTGTTTTCGCTTTTGTAAACTTTTCCTCACATTTCTTGATTTCTTCGGGGGAAACTCTTCTCTTTGACAAATCAATGTATCCTGCAAAGTATTCCAGTCATAACCTAAAATTTTTCTCCACTTTAAAATTTAATGCTCCAGGATCTTCTAATATCAAGTTGCCAAAAGTTGCCATTCTGACCAGAAGCCAAAGTTTTTCTCAGCAGTTCCAAGTTTAAATCTTTGGCGGTGCTTGTAAATAGCCAACTGGTTTGTTTCCTGCCAGTTGGAATTCTTAACACCATTATGTTGATTTTTAATTAGCATATTTCTTCAAATAAGCGCCCAGGCTCTAATAAGCACCCTCTCCTGAATAAGCGCCCATCCGCTAGGCTATAATATCAAACAAACACTCCCCTCGAATAAGGCCCCCCCCCTCTCCTCCTCATACGTTTCTTAAAACAATATTAGGGATACAAGAGGAATGTGAATATCTGCATATTATTGATAAGGATTCAAGGATGATGACATAAACAATGCATACTGATACATTTCTGTGTTAAGTGTTCAATGGGACTATGGTATGCTTGATTATGACTTCTGTTATAACAAACATAAGACTGTTAAGATTTGGCCAAAACATTGTTACACTTTGTTGAAAGAAAAACTTAATAAATGCCCCACTTGATTACGAGTCCTCCTTTCAAAAAGCGCCCATCCTTTTAGTTGTCATTTTAAATAAGTGCCCAGGTGCTCACTCAAGCAAATACAGTATTTGCTTCTTTTAAAATTTGCTCAGCCTCTCTGCTGTGAATGTTGAAGGTCAAATCAGTTCTCAGGTTAAACCAGTAATTAACCTACCGGGCTTTACTTAGTACGGTCCTAAAACTAGTAATTAGTAATGATATTTAGAAATTATTAAATGAGGACGAGACAAGGTAGTCTTCCACCAAGGCCATTTTTTTGCTAGTTCTACCAAAACAATGCAATCTCACTGCCAAGACTTCTCAGTTGCCATGCCTTTTTATGTAGGTTGTTCCGCAACATTGACACAATTTTCTGCAAAATTTGGTATCCAACTTAGCCTTCGAAATTGGGTCAATGCTGCCTGGTTATGAGGAATTAGCCAGGGAGTTTGAGTCAGTCAGATAGGGAGAAGTATTTCGAATGAATGATAATAATAATAATTAATATAAGCTTAGTACAATAAGTCTTATACTTTTTCTTACCATCGCCTTATTCTGAAGTTTTTAAATGAAGGTCACCACTCTAACACAGTTAATGTGTTTCTCTTTCATTAAAAAGTGTATTATTGTTGTCTCCACCAGTTTTAGCGTCAATTAAAACTCTTTTTAATGTGAGCTTACAATAATATTTGTAGGCTAAGCTTAAAGACGTGCACCTGACCATTAGTGCTTACTATTATCTGTAAGTGGAAATCAAGATCGCGAGAGCGTCGGCATAATTCTGACAATTATTTAAGCGACAAACCTTTGTCCTTGTCGACACGAATGACTACCACACATTCGTTTCTACCGACTCTGATAAGCTTGTTGATTGAACGAATTCGCCTCCTCGACAACTCACTCAAAAGAATCATCCCTTCGATGTTGTTGTATTCGAGCAGATTGACATAAGCTCCCATCTCCGCGATGCTTCGAACATTGACCATCACTACATCGTCAATCTCTGGGTACTTATGTTTGTAAAATCTACAGCTGAAAGGCATTTTGGTAAAGAAATAAAGTGAGAAAGGTAAAAAATTTTTGGATCACTGTTCCACATGGGCAACAAACTGATGCAATAACGAAACCGCTGACCATTTAGATAGCTGCGGTACCGGCACAGGTAACCCAAGCTGGAAAATGTTCAAAATCTAAGGATTTGTCTCGCCTTGTCTGGGGAAAACTATTCTCTTCGTAGCTCAGTTGTATTTTTTTTCCTTCTCTGTGTGGTTCCGGAGCCGATTTATGGCCATTTTGTGGGCTTTGTTGTAACCGGCGCAAAGAGAACAAACCGACTCCAATAAAAGTTAAATTGCCATAAATCGAATCGGGAACAAGACGAAACAAGAACGCTCTTACAGTAACCATCTTGACGAGTAGGCAAACGCGTGAGAAATTGCAGTGTTTATAAGAGAATCTAATGTCGAATAATTTCCGTGAAACGGCTATTCTGAAAAAAAAATATCAATTGTAAACTAAAGCTACAAAGCAAAGTATTGTCCTAAAAAAATTTGGAGGCGTACCTGTGCTTAAATTTATCCAGAGGCTTGCATTAGATTTTCCATATGTTTGTCTGTAATTTTCCCCGGACTTTCCTACAGACAAATGTATAGCAAATTTAAAAAGTTGTTCTAGGTCTTCTAGTGCAAGTAACGCTCTCAATTTTTTTCAGTAAAATCCTTAGGAGTGAAGCTTTAGTTTACAAATCATAATTTTTTCAGAACAGCTGTTCTACGGCTCTTGACGGAAATTATTCGAAATTAGATTCTCACTGACAAACGCTGTAATTTCTCACACGTTTGCCCACTCGTCAAGATGGTGTCGAAAACCGTGACAAGGTCTATTCCCAGACGTCCGAGGTCTTTCGCGGTTCCTTCGCTTCCCGGGGAAGGAAGTGAAGGGACCGCGAACGACCGCAGACGTCTGAGAATCAGGCTAGCTCTTACAGCGACGTTCAGTCTCGCTTGCTTGGAGATTAGATCGAGAAGTGAGGAGGCGATTAATTCTACACGAAACAGGATTTACTCGCTAAAGGTTTTTTACTTCCTGCTTTATCGACGTCGAGTATTCTTATTTACTTTTTATTTGTTTTTGAATTGATTTAGTACGCGTGTTGGCGACGACCGGAAATACATCTGCGGTCGAAGGCTATACGCGTGTATAAATACAAAAAAATCAAGGGCCTCGATTCCAGAGAAAGTACATCATTGCCAGAGACCAGACCAGAGACCAAAAAAGTGATTTAGATGGCACGTCATTTCAATTATCGCCGAAAATAAACCCCATGCTCCTCACAACATCATTTGCATACAATGAAAGTTTACAACACCCGACCATCGCAGTTTTACTAAAAAAGATTTTTTTTTGACCACTCAGTAGTGTTCACTTGTTCTAAAGTGATCAACCCTTTTAAGCGATACAATTCGTGGATCGACATGTTTCGGAAAAGCTCTAAATTTTAATCTTTCTCAGTTTCTTCGCAAAACATGCATGGCTTCGGTCACGCAACGATTCTTATTCCCAGTTTCCACGATCTCCGCTAGGAACGCGCCTGGCACAATGATCCCCCTTTTGTGTCATAAATACGAAGAAAAACGGATCACAGATTATGAGTCTCGCTGCTTACGCAAGCGAGACTAATAAACAAAACTTACTGATTTTCGAAGCTATTGAAAAACCCTAGGGGGGAGGGTACTCCCCATAATGGCCTATACGGGGAGGCTCCGTCCGAAGGTAGTTATTTTTTGAGGCTTCAGGAGCATGAAACGGTAAGGATTTCATCAGTCGAAATATGTCAAGGGGCAGGGAATCTGTCATTTCGGTCTGTAACAGATGACTTAAAAGGGATTTTGTGGCTGTGAAAAGGTCATGATCACGTTCTGATTTTATGATTCTTCATTATTCAAAAGAAAGTGCCTTTACAGCAGTTAAAAGGTATGCAAAGCCCTAAACAAGGTATGTGAAAGGGGTAGCATTCGTCAGTAGAAGGTATCCGAAAGGGGTACCTTCAAAAGTGGTATATGAAAGTTTACTTAAGGGTTGGATCTCGGAGCGGAGCCTCCCACTGTAAAACTTTGTTGAGCACGCCCGGGAACATAAGTTAACCGCCGTAAATCCAAATAACACTCTAATTGCGTTTGAGACTATTGATTGAATATTTTTTTGGGTTTAAAAAAAAAATTCGCTCGGTATAGCTCTGGCCCTGAGGAAGGCTAAGTTCCGAAATATTGGCTTATAATAAATCAGCCCTTTGCCGTACTGCCAGCCCTGCATTCATTTTTGTTTCATTTTACACATCAAGTGACGCCTGGCTACAGTATCTCTTTAAGCAAAAGGAACCAGTCAGTTTTATTTTCCTGTTGCGTGGACCTCTGCTTTCAAACAGTTTTTCCTAAAAGCCGTAATGTAGTCTCAAAATCAGGCAGTTTAGTTAAGAATGGTTGCTAACATTATTTCATACTCACCCTACGTTAACTAGTCTCCTTCGCAGCCGTTATTAGGGTCGTCACTCCTCACGCAACGCTCCTCCCCTAGTGGGGAGGAGCGTTGCGTGACGAGTGACGACCCTAATAACGGCTGCGAAGGAGAATATACGTTAACTAGTAACAGCATTATCTTTCGCGATCTCAAACCTTTCTTTTTAATTTTTATTTAATCATTTTCAATATATAGGTTATATGTTCAGTGCTGGCGCGACTTTGCTTTGTGCGTTGACAATCTCCCATACAAAAGTAAATTTCAGTAATCAACTTTTCAATGAAAACAAAAATTAAAACTAACTGAAAACAAGATAAATTTTCCTTGCTGTTTACAACTTTTTGTCTCCAGTTTTTAATTTTTATGTAATGTATTATTAAAATCTTAACAAAAGAAGTTTTATACTGCCTTGTAAGTTTTTAATTTGCAAACGATATGATGACGATTTTGGCCTTGTTTGGTCAGCGTAGAAATAACTCTTGAAATCCCTTTTATCTAATCCAAACAGATTCGGCCTGACTTCTTTCAATGTTATCTTGAATTCACTCAGTCCTCGACAAAATTTTCCTTTAATTAAAATCCCGGCGTTGATGTTTTTTTTGTTACTACCATTATTGCATCGGAATAAAACAGGTGTTTCAAAGTTCTGTATTTCCTTGATAATAAAACCGAATTCTCCAAACGTACGCTGTTACACTGCAAGAAAAAACGGCAAACTTCTCAGTGCTTCTCAACCATGAACCTATACCTATAGTAATCAAGTGTAGCTTTATAAGTGTAAAATTGTAGAATGAGAATTAACAAAAGTAAATGATTATTGCAGCAAAAACTCTGTTTCCTTTCTTCTTCCTATTCAGTTGGCGCTTCGTGACTCCGTTTGTGGGAGGATGCTGTGAATATCATTCGAATCAGCAAATCCATGGCCACGAGAGAGTCGGAAAACTCCTGGGATGAATTAGAGGCTATCTGGGCCCCAGAACCAATCGTCACCCTCAGTTCTGCTTTGTATAGCCACTAACTGATTTGGAGATTCCCTTCTTTTCGATATAGAACTTGGAATGTGGCCCTTCTTCTAGGGAGAATTAACGAATTTATAAATTGATTGTTTTTTAATGGACACCTGTGATAGGTCTCCACTGATCCCTTTTTTCAAACGCAGAAACTTTTCAACAGTTTTTAGAAAACGACATATTAATATCGAACCCCTGTCACGCCTTGTAATATCCGCGTTTTTAACACTCTAACGTAGTCGACTATTATCACTATTGCTCTAGACTTGCTGTACTGCCAGTAGAAGGTAGGTAATGCGCATCTTTTCCGGTTCAATCAAATAATCTTTTTTAGACTCAGTCAAAACTTATCATCTAAATTCTTAAAACTCGTTTCAAGCTCTTTCATAAAAAGTGCTGCGCGAAATTTAGCTAAATTTGATTCTTGTTCTTTTTTCTTGTTTGCGGAATCTTTGTTTAGCAGACACTGTGACGTGACGAAAGTTTAGAGCTAGATGAAAATCAAAAGAATGCGTTTGTGTCGAAGGAAATCTGTTAAGACCTCCACGGCATAGCTAACCGGCCCCGCACTCGATAGAGCGCTGGATAAGGGAGGTCAAGCGTTTGACCCCGGATTTGGACCGACGTTTATCGGGTGTTAGTTTGACTTCCTCCTAGCTCAAAACTGAGAAATGAATTTACTGCCTTTGCAAACAGCTTGACCGTGCTTCGAGTGTTTCGGATGTCTTCATTTGTCTCATTTCTTTGACGTCACAGAACAAAAACGTGAATTATCCTCGGGGGAATAATGACTTTGTGAAGTACGTAAATTTACGAAGGAAACTCTTTCTAAACTTACATGCGGTCCCCTGGTTTTTAACTTTTTACTTTTGACAGATTAAGCGGCGGGGTTAGATCGAATAATCTCATAATTATTCCTGAAAATAATATAGTCTTACTCGTAAAATTACTCTTAAAGAATAAGTTATGCCTAATTCGTATAAACGAACTCCGATTGACTGGAGAACAAATTTTGTTCAGTGTTGAAAATATTTTCCTAGTTCGACGAATTTGCTTGTGCAAGACTAAACAATGCCATTTTTCCTCTGAAATTCACTAAGGTCTTGTAGCTCTCCAGGCAAAACAAGATTCTCAGCTAGAGCAATGTATAAATTAATTGCTATCTCGTCACCAGATCCTTCGGATCTTATGGCTGCGCTCGTCCGTAGTTATGCGTAATAGAGAAGAGCTCCTGGGGTCCAGAATGCACTGCTCATCCCTGCTTTTCTGATTTGCACGCAGTAGAAGCCGGGGGCAGGGGTAGGTACTCCGGATTTCAAGTTGCGGGGATTATCAAAGGATATTTTGGGGTTTGAAATTTTTGATCCCGGGATTTTTTAGGATAAGAAAATTTGGCAAGTGTTTTTTTTTGGTTGACCTGATTTATAGCAATCTGAAATTCGTGGCAGTGCCCGCAGATCCCGGGCTCAGAGCTCTGCGAATAAAAAGCAACCAAGGTTGTTGAGGCTCGGAAATTCGGCATGCGTGCATGGGATTCTTGGGGGGGGTTAATTTATTGTCCAGGAATGGGTTGTGTTGGAAGCCCCAGGGCTTTTCTGGGGGTTTTGATTTTCACCCCCATTCGATAATCCCCGTCACTTGAAATCCAGGGTACCCCCTGGGAAACGAAGCAGTTGTCGTTTGCCTTGAGTTGGATAGGAAAACAATTCTTTTCTGCAAAATTAACCCGCATGTTTTCACAGCTTTAAGGGACTGTGCAATATTTACCTGGAGTTAGGGGGGGGGGGGTGGGAAATGGGTGAAATATGTCCCAAAACTAAGTCATATCCCCCCTCTCATTAAGCAAAAATTAATTTCAACCCCCTCTCACATAATGATAATATTAAGGCTAGCCCCCCTGAAAAAAGTCTCCTCCCATTGATTCCCTCATACCTAGTTTACTATTCAGGACTTTCTGTCTGATTGAGCATTTTTTTGAAGCTTAATTTAATCATACCGTGTCTTTAAATGATTAAATTTGTATTGCTATTAAAATTTCAACAGTTGGGTTTTTCATTCTGCTAAATTATGATGCCATGTGTGCTAACATTGGCATCTTTCTTTTTCATTGAATAATATTGTAATGCTACTTTTGCAACTTTTAATTAAAGTTTCCTGTTTTATTAAATCCTAGTGCAATAAACTAGCACTGTTTTAACATATATGACAGAGGCATTCCTCTCCTACTGCATGACAGATAGGAAAACAACAGTTCGTAGATCAGAACACCTTAGAGTGACAAATTTGTCAGTTTTATTCCAATGTTAGTATTTATATTTGAACTTTAATAACTCTTCCACTACTTTTCCAGTTTGCAAAAAGGAATGAAAAAGTAATGTTCCCCCTGTATGTATTAAATTTTACATCCAATCCCCCCTCTCTCTTGTTGTCATTTTCTCCTAAGCCCCCTAATTTTCCAACCCCTCCCCCTCCAGGTAATTATTGCACAGTCTCTAATTTGAGGCTTGCAATCTACTAGCAAGAAATGTTAAGGCCGAAACCATCAAAGAAAAGATGTTTACATACCAACTTGTTTCAATATAATTTTATTTGATAACAGCAAAGTCTGAAACAAGCATTTGATCCGAAAACGCGTAAAGTTCAATCAAACAGTTAAAGAAGGGAAAGATCGTAGTGAAAAATAGGTGCCTTCAGCAAGAGACGACCAGTTTCCGATGGTTTAAAAAAGTTAGTAATGGTGGATATTTCTACGTGCCAATAACAAATTTATGGCCGAAAATGCACCGAATTTTTTCGGGCTTTCTTTTCGTAACTAGTTAACTACCATGATATTCTTTGCATTTATTACTTCATTCTGCGGTTCCAATATATGAAACAGAGGATATTACACGGCCGCTTGGAGATACAAAATTTCTCTTCGAGTGTTGAAAAATATTTCACTCGTTCGCAGCGCTCACTTGTGAAATTTTTTTCAACACTAGAAGATAAATTTCGTATCTCCAAGCGGCCATGTAGTGTTCTATTTATTATATAAACACCAATGAACAACCAAACCATTTCACTTTAATAGTTTTTTAGTGTGAAAGGCGCGATTTATTATGAAGCCATAGCAACGGTGTTATTTTCACATGTGAAGATATCAAGTTTTCGCGCGAAAGCTCGCCTAGTATTTCATTGGTGTTTATATAATTCATATATATTTCATTATCATATGCATTTCATGAGAATTATCTTTACCATTTTGACATCTCTCTTTTCTTCTTTTCTGTCATTCAGAATGGAATCGAACTTTGAACCTGATTCTCGAAATAGTAGTTTTAGTGACAAAGATCCTCTTGGAAGAACGCCACTGCAAGTTGGAATCGAAGTAACTATCGCAGTTTTGATATGTCTCGCTTGTATTGCTGGGAATGTAACAGTTGTGATCGCCATTCACAAAACTCCACGCCTTAAAACAGTCACCAACATGCTGGTCGAGAACCTCGCATGGACCGACATCTCCATGGCAACACTGCATCTGCCATTTTGGATTATGAGCATGAGCAGTGGTCGCTGGCTATTAAGTCACGTGGCTTGTAAGATTGTTGGGTTCTCCGAGCTGGTGTTTGGTGTAGCCTCGCTTCAAACGATGGCGGGAATCGCGTTAAACCGCTATTTCAGCATTGTCCGAAGAAACGTATTCATGAAGTATTTCTCGGATCGTAAAGCAACCCTTAAAATAATCATTGTTTCGTGGGTATTGCCTGTTGTTGTATGTAGCCCCCCTCTATATGGCTGGGGAACTATAGAGTTCAGCGACAAATTCACCGATTGCACAATGGGATGGAGTATCCCAGATATTTCCTACATCTCCTTTTTACTGTCAGTTTCGATTGTTATACCAATGATGGTTATTATTTGCTGTTACTTTGCGATTTTTCGGTTTGTAAGAAGAAGCTCTCGTCAGATTCAAAACCACTTACAGGAAGAAAGTCACAGACGACTGAAGAACAATGCACCGTCAATCAAAAAAGAAACGAAAGTTATCAAGGTTTTTGTTGCCGTTGTTTTTGTGTACGTTTCCTGCTGGACACCAGTTTGTATTGTAGGTATTTGTGAGATAATAGAGTATTCAGCGCCACGTTGGGTTTATATTGTCGTGTATTACATGATGTTTTCTAGTAGTTTTTGTAATCCTTTAATCTATGGGTTGTTTAACCCGCAGTTTAGAAACGCGTTTAAGAAATTGTATAACAAAGATGCGTCTGGGAATGATAGTGGAGAGTTGCCCTTACAAAGGAGAACTGCCTTCTCACAGGAACAATAGCGTGTTAACATGAAAATATTAACTGCAGTTGTGAAAGCATTTTAAGAAATTATGAATTGAGAGAGAAGCCTGGGATTCAAGGCTTCAGGTTTTGTTCCTAGTTGCTAGTTGCATGTATTGTAAACACTCAGACCCATTTCGCGTACTGTAATAACTCTGAGAACCTTAATTTAAAGTTCATTTTATTATTCCTTATAGATGATCTCAGTTTTGATCAAATTAAAACCATCTCAAACTGTTGTTTTGCTCTTTGTTTGATCTGGTTTCGGGGAGATTTTCTCGTCCCATCTACTTGTTCTTGGCACATTTCGCCGCCCTCAGCATTCGTCACTCTTGCACTGTCAGCGGTAAAAAGCTTTGATCGGAGAAATACCATCGACTTTTTTATTTTTAATTTTCACCCCATGTAAGGCAATCCGGTCTCCGGAATCCGGGAAATTTTTGCTTGTGAAATCCGGAATCTGGTAAATTTTGCCTTTGTGGAATCCGGAATTCCGGGTTTTGGAATCTGGACTACAGCTCAAGGAATCCGGAATCCCATTAAGGATTGGAATCCAGAATCCAAGTTCTACTAAAAAAGACTGGAATACAGTGCCTGGAATCCGGATATCCACGGCGTGGAATTCCCTTACATGGGGTGATGGATTCCCTTACATGGGGTGATGGATTCCCTTACATGCATGGGGCGATAATTAACTGCACTGAGCTGTTTAAAGAGAAGCTGCTATTGTTTAAGCATTATACATGACAAGTTGTTTAATCTTAGCTTTAGCCTCTTTATATTCTTCCTTCTTGAAGTATCGCTCAAGGAAAGGATCATCAAACGAATAATAATTATCCACAACTCTGAGAACTGTTAGCAGCGTTCTCATGTAAGAATCTGGCTTGGCTCCCTCAAGTGCAATTTTTCTTATCTCTCGCGATAACTCCCTCTTGGGTGCTGAAAAAAATACAAGAAAAGTGTTTTATAGCGTAAAGAACGGCTGGGAGTTACAGTGAAGGTAGAGATTTATGTTCAAGGTGATAACAAGGCGATGATAAGGATATCAATGGAGCCCTGAGACCCGCCATTTCTCCCGACCCGCCTGACCGCTCTTGGGTCTCCGAGGCTTGTGTGGCAACTTACGGAAACGTAATGAGGGAAATGTATTTCTCCAGTCGACCGACCTCTGTCTCGGCTGTCGAATGGACACAACTTGTCCAGTCGAACGAGTTGTTATTAAAAAAAAGTATTTTTTCACGCACTCGTGTCATGTCGACATTGAAAATGACTGATAAAAACTACGGCAAGAATTAACTCCACGGTCAAAATCCTATTGTTTGACAAAGATCGCTCGTGATGGCAACAAAAGTCATTTATCTCGCTTATTAGCAAGAATCAGAATAACTTCGATTAGAGCAATCGACACGAGCAGGTCGAGTAAGATTAATGACAGCTGAATTACTTCAACACTATCTTATTCTCGAACATCCTTTTGCCTGTATTTTGACTCTTAATTATTTGCACAAGACTCTAGAACGCCAATCTGCACCAAGCGCAAGAAATGGTTTTTCGCCCGAATACATAAAAATTGGCAAACCGCAAAATTAAACACAGCGAGCGCGCGAACCTGGGAGATCAATCTTCAAATTTGCGAGTAGTCACATGAATTATGGGTGGGTAGTACAGTAGAACGAAATGATGTCTAATAGGGTGGGCACGTAACTCCTACACTCCCGACCAATGACTTGTAGAATTCCAATCAAATTTCACCTTATTGTTGAATTCTACTTCGCCATTGGTCATTCGGATTCACGTGAGCACGCTTAAGAACAACAGCCAGTTAATTTCAATTGGCACAGCCCTCATTTTAGCTCTTTCCAACGCTTGTCAGTCCATACCACTTCTTATTATATTTTGTTATTACCATAATCTAGATTTTCCTTATTTCTTCGATTCCTTCTTTATTTTACCCCTTCCAAGTTTCACAGGCGATATCCTAACCTGCAAGCAGTGGTTTCTCCAGGGCTGGACGCTACGCTATGAGGGGAGATCTAGAAGCCGCTGTTAGCGACCCTTTACTTTTCCATCGAGCATGCGCGTCCACTTGACGCCTTCCTCAAGACGTCAAATGACTACACCTTCTCTTGTTTCGCAGGAAACATATCAGGCAATTTAAGATCCAACTACGCGAAGACAACAGACCGGAGGGAAAGCTCTGAGATGCCCCCTCTATAACTTCAAAAACGCTCACGCTACGGCCACCAAAACCACACAGAATTATTTTCTCATCATTACCAACTTCTGGGCATGACTTGATTGACATAATGACGTAATCTGACGTCATAATGACATCGTATTGCTGAATTGATTGGCAGAATCCAAATTTCTCTCAAACAAGATATAAAGCGAAAATACTTAAATCCTACGGTTTTTGATAAATTCAAGAAGTTTGCTAACACAAAGATAATCTTTAACAATAGCAGGGATGTGATGATGATGTCATTTATTACTAAATAAAGAACTGGAAAGATTTGCCATCTTGAATCCGCCATATTGAATTAGTTGAATGTATCCCATTTTACTTAAAACCCGTATTAAATCAAGGTATTCTTAATGGGAAACTTGATCTGAGTGTAAAAGGATCCGTGGGAATATGAAATATGAAATTCCGAGAGATATGAACACGGCTAAAAATTAAACTCGGCATATTAAACTCATGTTTTTTCTCAAACTAGCCACTAAATAAAAAGCCTGGATTTCGTTAACAAATATAATAACTTGGATTTTTTAAAAAAATGCTAAATTAATTGTTATAGAATAGTTCAATTATTAAAAATAGAAATAAAACCTATTTTTTAGAAAAAATGCAAATTTTGAAAAACATGTCTGTCAAAACTCGGTTGCCATGGTAACGTCAATGTTGACGTACACGCCACGACGACTTTAAAATGTTCCAAAATAAATTTTAGTCGCTAAGTCAGGTGGTCATAGCTTGAGCGGTCTTGAAGTTATTCTACTCTTTGGCGAGGAAGGTCCTTCTCTAATAAGCAAAACAAAAACTTTCCACATGCATCACCCTTTTTGTACATTTCTTTGTCGTTTTTGCACGACTACGAGGTAAAAATGCATAATTTTGCGTTTTATGGAGAACGTAAGCAAGCAAAATAACGCAAATTCACGGCAGGCTTGCGCTGAGTTAACAGTCATAAGCGTAAGCAAATGCACGAGAGGCTTGACTTGTTTAATATACAGCTATTTCGAGAAAGGTTGTCGCAAAACGTGCACGCGACGATCCCGAAAGGTATGGTGGGTGGTTTTGTGTTCACTCAAGTTCTTCGAGGAAATTTGAAAGAATGGCCCGAGAGGCCATGGACGTATGTTTGCTAGTGCTAAAGGAAACAGCAAAAGTAGGTTCGACAGCTACAGTGTCGGGAACAGTGTATTGATCATATCCCATATTACCTTTCTCGATTTTCGGGTGCACATTTTTTCCGAAAACCTTTCTCGAAATAGCTGTATTCGTCCATGGCGCTGGAGGGCGGCTCGATCAAAGAAACAAACGGTCGCTAGCAGTGGTTTCTCTCCAGCCCTTCATAGAGAAGTAGTGGTGTCTCAGCCACGACTACATCTTTTTGTTCCTAATATTAACTCACACAGGGCGTTCTCAAGGCATGTAAAATTCAGGTTCCCTTTCGTTACCTGCATTTTTCAATGGAAAATCTGTGTACATTCCGGCCAGTTTTCGCTCCTTTCCCAGAATTCCATCATGCACTAGGCTGTCAAGGCAAACGGAAGCTACGTTATTCTCACAATTCCAAGTGGTGATGCAATCTCGGATCCAGTCCACCAGCTTTCGTTTGTAGCCCTCTTTATGCTTTGCTGCAATTTTAGCAAACAGTGCTCTGTCGAGGAATGTTCCGGTAGGTGCTGCGTCAATAACCTACGTTTTTAAACAATAGTTTTGTCCATCACTTAGATCAGTTAACGCTGACAATTTTAAAGATCTTTTAAGCTTAAGTGAACAAGAGAACTTTAAAATCTAGAACATGAAACTGAAATTAAGTTTATCTTACAACAGTAGCTCCTAACCGATGGACAAAACCCGTGGTTATCGGAAATCGAAACTCGAAAATCGTGGTTCTGTAAATCGAAACCTTTACGGTACCCAAAGTGAACAACACAAGCTATGGACGTTATTCTCTCAGTCTTATCAATGGAAGTAAACTAAAAAGCATTGCGCATTGCGTGGACCTTTGCATTCAAACAGTTTTTCCTATTATTTTGTATTGGCTCCTCATATGAAATTCTACACTGAATTCATAAGCCGAGATTGATGCTCTTTATAAAACTTGTTCTTAAAATCGGATCTTAGGGATCCAAAAAGGCAAACTGAGTGAATGCAACAGAAATGGCATTTCAAGAAAAAGAAAGACAAAAAAAAAAGACAAGAGTATATACTCTATCCAGCTAACCTTAACCCAGATGTCAGTATATTTTACGAATAGAAATTTCTTCTCTTCAAACTCTATCTTTATTTTTCCCATGGCGATTAAATCCAGGAGAACAGCACATACGGACCCGCCGCTATTTTATTCTTTGATCCCTGGCGTCCATTGACATCACCTGTTGAGCTGTTCTGCCACAAGAGGACATACGCCTCTGATAGCTGTAAGGAAAATAGTCTGTGTCAGCGAAGAATAAAACCTCTAGATCTCAACTTATGATCAAGAATCATGAGAATATCTGTGTTACTTGAGAAATAATGTAATATGAGAAATAATTTGAACACACTCGTAAACTGCCATTAAAACTGTAACCTGTACAAACATAATTATCAGGGTTGATTTTCACACGCTAATAAAAATAGCGGTGCTCTGCGTCCAAGAAATATTTCCAGAAATATTGGTAGTGACTTGTAATCACGTGACCGTTTTTCCGACGGCCCGCCCGTCCGTCCGCACCACAGGCATACCATCAAAGTAAAATAACTCACTCAACGGTGTGGCAACCCAAATGCAACTCGAGATTCTTTTGGGGAAAATTGTATGGCCAGCCGCGTTTAATGAATCAGAGACAATTTGAAAGCGGAAATTGTTTCTAAATCCGTGTGGGTTGTCTGAAGTATTAAGCTAGATTAATTGTCAAGTCCACAATTCTGCCAATTTTGGAACATAGAGAAGAGAAAGACAGAGAAAACTACGCTTAAACGAGAACAGCAACACAAGCAACGAAATTTTTAGTGAGCACAACGACATTTTCTCCATAAAACGTGTAACTAGCAAGTTCCACATTGCAACAACAACGGCGAAGAAATGTACAAAAAAACTGAATTGGTGTTTTTCGCTAATTAGACCTTTTGATTTTTTTGCCTTTCTCTTTACCGTCGCCTTTTAGCGTTACACGATTCTATATTTTGTTTGAGTAAATTATAAAAATATTAGCGAGAGCTTCGCTTTCAGCCCTGGCTAAATCTATATTTTAACCATGATAACAACGTATTAAAGATACTTGACAGTAGGACGGAACTGCATACTCATAATAACTGTGCTAATAAAAAGAATGGCGAGAAGACACGGGGAAAATGAGGACACAATAAATATTTTAGGGAGCTGGGAAAAAGGGTTCATTAAGTAAAAATCACAGTACGAAATATCTTTTGACGAAATAATATTTTTGAACAGAAGGTTGTGTGACCAGCCAGAGGACCCATCAGATATTGGATATGACTCATCCTCTGATAAGTCCACCTCGACTTAGTGAAGGTCATATTTTATAGATTTGCTCACTGGTCGAGCTCAGAATAGTTTTAGCTAGACGACTGCTCGAGGCGCGAGTGAAGGCCCAGGCCAGGGTAAACTCAAACAAGATGCAAAACGTATAGAGAACGTATGAGGCTAAAAATACCAACAAATTCAGAAGTTGATTTTTAACACTGAAAGACTAATAAACATAACAGACGAAAAGGAGAGATTGAAAGGTCACCTTAGTTTACTATTGGGAAATTCAAATACGTGCATTTGGCATTGGATCAGAATAGGATATGATTCATCCATTTTTACAGCTCCAATTCTCACTGAGATTTTTCTCGTTTTTTGGAGGGACTATCTGGAAGCTTTACCTTAAGTGATCTTTGCAGAATAGCTTTCCGGTCGAAGTGAGGAGAAGCAATAATTCCACATATTGTGTACTTCATGTTATCAACGATTGTATCTTCATCAATAGAGTCATTTGCAACGACACTGACCGCCGCTGCGTTAGCACCGGCACATTGTGCCATGTCTGAAGGCTTGGAGATGAAGTGTTGATTAAAACATTTTCGATCGCGAAGGTCTTTTATGTTTTCCTAACTTGTTACACAATTACCTCATAAGCTATTTTAAAAAACGTCGACGACAAAGGGGTTTACTATTTCTCTTTTGTGAAATGCCATATCACGACGTCAGAGATCACTCATTGGGTAGGCCTGGATCAGTTATCAGAGTGCTCTGCAGTATTTTTCATTCTTAAATGTTATCCGAATAGAGATAATGAAGACTAAAGCGACTCATTAAATGCGTCTTTAGTTTTGAGTGATACGGCTTTTGCACGGATTCTGCTCCTACCCTGTTGCCAAAATTATCGTTCACATCAGTGCCGTCAGATAATCACAAGATCACGAGACACTTTGAGGGCCGGGAAAGTGACCATCCGTCAGTCAACGTGGGCTCAAATATTGGCATTCAGTCTCTGATCCATGTATCGAGACAAAATATTCAAAATATGCAGTATCATTGTTGCTTTCTGTGTAAACCTCAGCCTCGCTCCCAGTTTGGTTTTGACGTCACCCGTCAAGCGTGTCGACTCAATCGCATCTTAATTTCACGATGACATTTAATTACAATCACCAGATATTCATCTCGTTCTTGTTTTCTAATTGAAATTTTTCAATTCCGCTGAGCTTCGAAAAACAATTAACCTATTTAACTGGCAAAAGAAAAAAAACTTAAAGGATTGTAGTAAAATGACGTCATCATGCAAGTGTCTTATTTGTCTGGGAACGAGGCTGGTCATTCGCTACCTCGTCTGTATATTGCAACATTCTCTATCGAATGATAAAACCTAGTTTTTCCGAGACACAAGCAAAGCGTAAGAACGAGCATTATGATTGGTTTATCCTTCTGCTTGTGCTGCCGACAGTCTCGATTTGACTTAAATCGTAGGCGAAGGAGTCATAGTTGGAGTCAGAAGAAAATGGAAATGTTCTAGTTCGTCCGTCTCCGATTCCGTCGAACTTATGTGATATATGTCTCTTGTGAAAACCAACCCTCACCGGCACTGCATGTGAAGTTTACTCCTGCAAACCTTAACCCTGAACAGGCTAACCGAAATGTTGTACAACGACTGAACTTGCGGATTAGCCTAACAGGCGCTTCATAAGCCAAGCGAGGCAAACGCGGCATTTTGCGCGCGCTCGTCTCGCGCTTCGCGCAAAATGGCTTGGCTCATAAAGCACCTGTTATGCAGGTAACTCGCGGATATGCTGTTGTGATTATCAGTTAAGGAGTATTTTTTTCGAGGTCGAATTTTGGACCACAGATGATCTTCGTCTTAAGCCTGCCTGTCTGCTCTTTGTCCTTCTTCCCAATATTTGAATCTCTGCTTCACAGCTGTTCTTTGTGTCGTCACGCAACGCTCTTCCCCAGCCGTTTGTGGGAAGGAACGTTGCTTTACGACACAAAGAACGGCTCTGGAGCAGACCATTAGAACCGGCGGCTATTTTAGATCACAGAGTAAAAAACTATAAAATGAGTAAGGGATAAAAGATTATATTATTTAGGATGAGGAAGGTAACTACATGCGTGCAACCTCGTCCCCAGGCCCCAGGGAAAAGAGCCCTGGGGACGAAGTGACATGCATTGCCTGACTGGATGACACACGAAAACTGATTGAAAAGTAAAGCCTAGATGTTTCGAGATGAAGAATGTTGGGATAGCTCCTTTAAAGACGAAACAAAAAAAACTTAAATTGATCCATCAGTCACAATAGATAAAAACTTTTTCCTAATGTCTACCAACCTTGTCCGCCAACCTTGTTCGCTTTGAGCCAGCAAGCGAGTCAGCGACCCAGTTTCTACTTTCACAAAGTGACTAGACAACTTGTTTGGGCATATTTTTTTATTATTTTTTTAAAATTAGGAATTAAGGGTTAGATTATTAACAGAAGCTTTTGCAGGCTGCTAGGCAATCTTCGTCTGCTTTAAAATTCAACTGAAGATTGCAAGTATGCTTTACAGTATACAGTTTTTATATCTATTTTGTAGGCCAAGTCAGGAACTGCTGGCCAAATTCAGTCTTTCTACTTCCTTTTAATGTGTTTAACGGAAGAAAATTCGTGCCACCACAACTGAAAGCTTTGGCTTTCACGCCACGACAATAATAGAGTCTGAACTGACGGAAGAACTTCAAACTTCTTATGTACAAATTCCTCGCTCTAAGCTACGTTGCAGCCAAGGTCCTGCAAGGTCATTATCGCAGAAGTCAATTGTGAGACTATAACTATAATGAAAGGTGTTTTCCAGTAAACGTAGTTTTCTTACTTCCGTTATGACGTATCTATTCAAAAGCAAAACAGGAAGTGTCTTGGCAAGTGTCTAAAGTAAGCCTAAGGCCAGGTTTGGACTCCGAACTTTTCATGAGCCGAACCTATAGATCGAATTAAGGCTGACCCAAATTATTTAGAACGGCTGAATTGACTCAGACGCCGATCTCAATTCCAGCTGAACTAAGATCGAAAGGCGAAAAATGCTAATTTCGGGCAAACTGGGTACAAAATACGTTATAATTACAATTTAAACATTGGCTTCGGTACATGAAAAGTTCGGCGTCTAAATCAAAGCCGTTCGAAAGTCTCTCCAAAGGCGAAATTCCCGGCCGTGCTAGGCGAAAACAACGGCTGAGTCGTTCCAAATTGAAACAAGCGTTCCTAATTGATTCAGACGCCGAACTTTTCATGTACTTAATTCAATGTATGATGTATATTAGGTTCGGCTCATGAAAAGTTCGGCGTCTGAAACGGGCCTAACAGGAACGTCACAATAACTGGCAGTTCCCTTAAACGTACTGTCTAATGTTTTTGTTGGTGACTATTTCTCTCGTGATTATAATCACGAAAATGTGACATAAAAAAGTGTATCTGAATAACCACCACTAAGCTAATATTAACAATCAAACGGAAAGATTCGCCAAAAGTGAATAAGATTTATTTTGTATACGTTTTTTTCAAAATTTGAAAGTGAATCAGTACCAAACTAGGCCAATAAAGCCCGTGAAAATCAGGGCACGAAAATGCAACGAAGGATGTCAGGGCGTGCCAAAATCACCGGATGAAGGCATTTATGACGTCCTCTGAATCACTGAAGTTGAAACCAAATGGTGGATTGGCAAATAGTCTCACGTAATTTAGTTTCAGCTTCGTGACAGTTGGCAGTTGTCAGCATTATATAAACTGGTCTCTTCAAAAGAGTTTTGCTCCCGAAAGAAGTCGCTTGGCAGGCATGAAGGCGCCTCTCATTTGCAGTCTATTTGTTGTGAGTTTTCTCAGCGCAAGTGTGTCCAATTCTTCTAGGCAAGGTTAGTATTACAATGTATGAGAACCGAAAATACATAACTGACTGCCCTAACAGTTAAGAAAAAGGAACAATAATGTTTATTAGGCTTTCAGCGCAGCTGGATCGGAATAATGGCTACAGGCAAAAAGTCCTCAGAGAGCCGGGAAGCAAAATATTCGTTTCTCCAAATAGATGCGGAAACTAAACTAAACGTAATTCAGGTTTGGAACCATTTATTGCTTAACAGAAAATTTAGTTATGAACTTGAAAACTGAATCTTTCCATGCAGATTCAGACTATCGTTTTTGTTAAGAAAGCCTTAAAAACTAGTACGTGCTCCGCCATTTGTTGAAGGCTGAAACCTTTGACGAATGTTTTTGACAGTGTGTTTGAAGCAATGTGAAAGGTAAAGTTGAGCTGTATGATATGGTTATTGCCTTCTCCTAATAGAAAATGAAGTCTAAATTAGCGTCGGAAGATTTTGAGACCAGTGGGTTTTCTCTACGATAAGTAAAACTAAGAAGAAAATGCCGTTGAAAAGGTTGAAACCAAATGCTGAAATGAAATATCGGTAAATCTCTCATTCTGTTCAGTAAAAAATAAAAAAAGTAAATATTCAGAGGAACTCCTGGAGGGAAACTTAACTTTAGTTAAAGAACTACCTTAATGAGGTATATATCAACGTTATTTTCTTCTTAGCACAACCGACTGAAAAGGATGCTATTTGAAATGGTCATTCCACCTGTAGTCCTACAGATACAAAGCTACTCGAGTGTGTTACAGCAAGGAGCTCAAAAGTGTGACCACTTTTGATTTATTCACGTTCTTTCGTACAGATTTAATCCAATCAAAAGCCAGCTGTCCTCTTCCTAGAAACTGTCCTCCACTTCTGATTGGTTATTGTTTGCATGAAAGAATGTGAATTTATAAAGGAAGTCAAACTTTTGGGCTCCTTGTTCGGTAAGGCTTGGGCTTTCTAATGCAGAGGACCCCCAGCGGAGTCTTAAGAAATGATACTTACAGATCGTAAGAATAGGTTTGTTTCAGTCGTGAAACTGAGAGGCATTAACATTCGACGTGTTTGATCAAATAAAAGTGTTATACACGGTCACGTGATTTCCTGCTCCTGATGACGTCACAAAACGCGTTTCTTCAAATGGGGTACATTTGCAAATTAAAAGTTCGAAACTTTTCGATGTCAAAGTGGCCTTAATACCGTTCTCAACACGGTCTCGCCTTTTAACTCAGAATTCATTCTATCCCTTATCAGTTATTTGTGTATTTGTTAAGTAAAGTGACCTGTTTTACTCAATTGACGGTTTCTGATAACACATAGACATGACTAAAAGGCGGCTTTCTAAAGCCCTTACTAGGAGCCATGCATATATGATAAGGCGAATACAGTACAGTTTGACTAAGTATTGCTCATTTTCAGTGAAACATTAGGGACATTAAGACGCGAACTGTACTATTTATACGAGCGGGTCTTATCTAATAAGACGCGTCTTAGCTAAGCCGCGTCTTATTTTAGACGAAATGTGCCATTTATACGGAAAGTTCGCGTCTTTTTTAAGACGCGTCTTATTTTTCCTCGTATAAATGGCCCTATTTTGACCGTTACAAGGCAAAGGTGAGTCACATGACTGAGACGTACAATAGAAAAGCTCATAAACATTACAACATATAAAAGTGGAAAGGAACTTACTTTCCAAGTTTCACGAAGATGAGAGGAATGTTTCTCCTTGAATTCAAAGCTACTGAATTCGTGGTTGAG